AATATGCTCATGTGATGTTCCGTCCAGTCGTACACCACACATACACTACAAAAAAATGTACACATACACACGCTTTCTCTCTCACCCTCTTTTTCATACACTTTCACGCACTCGCACACCACACACACACACACGCGCGCGCGCACACACACACACACACGCGCGCGCGCACACACACATACATGTACATACACTACGGAAGTGACATGTACACAGCTAATGTCTCTGCTTCGTTCAGAGAATTCAGGAAGACTGCTGTACCACCCGCTCTTTTCTTTTTACTTTAAAAGCGATTATTTGTAACATGGAAATTTGTTCCTTGGCTCACCATCTGAGTTCTTAGAGCTATTATTCATTTTCTGCTGCCCCCGGTTATTTCTTTTATTAGTATTAGTATTTTCTTTGCCTTCGCTTTCTTGTTATTGGGCAACTTGCCCGTTAGAATCTGCGAAGTAAAATAAACAACAACAACAACAACAACAAGTGCACGGGTCCAAGTGTGTGTATTCCCTGGGACTATCCCTCGTCTTTTTTAACCTCCTCCTCCTACACTTGTAGATCCTGACGATACTGATATCTGATCTCAATCGCTTCCATTATCTTCGTACTCGGTACTCGGTAGAGGTTTCGCGACCGAGAATCTTTTTAAAGATTCTAACTTACCGGTATTAATTTTGGAATACACGTGGCCCGAAAATTACCTAAGCACCGCGTCCGTAGGTCCTGTGCTCGGAAGCGGTCCGGGGGACATAGCGACTACATGTCGGGTTTGTGTCTCATGAGAATGCTCCGCGACCCTTACATATACAGGGGGCTCCGTTTCTCCTGAATACTCCAAACCTTACTACCAACGGTACACAACGCCTTTGACCATACAGAGACTATCTGGAATACCTGCGCTTTATGCCCCTTACTCTCTTGGGTGTGATGTCCATGACATGGCTGTCCCTTTCTGTCTGTCTGTCTGTCTGTCTGTCTCTCTCTCTCTCTCTCTCTCTCTCTCTCTCTCTCTCTCTCTCTCTCTCTCTCTCTCTCTCTCTCTCTCTCTCTCTCTCTCTCTCTCTCTCTCTCTCTCTCTCGCAAATTGGTACTCTTCGCCACTCCGCGTAACTCAGCGGAAGTTGAAAAGACAATTGTAATTGCACTGTGCATATTTGACTCATCGAAGCGGATCGCTTTTAAATATTCCAAGAAGAACGTTCCTTCCTTTACTCGAGGCTTTCCTTCATATGACAGTAGACGGAATTCTCTACCTGTTTCTCTCTGTTTCTTTCTCTCCTTCTTTCTTTCTGTCTTTCTTTCTTTCTTTCTTTCTTTTTCTCTGTTTCTTTCTCTCCTTCTTTCTGTCTTTCTTTCTTTCTTTCTCTCTCTCTTTCTTTCTCTCTCTCTCTCTCCTCTCTCTCTCTCTCCTCTCTCTCTCTCTCTCTCTCTCTCTTTCCTTCATATGACAGTAGACGGAATTCTCTACCTGTTTCTCTCTGTTTCTTTCTCTCCTTCTTTCTTTCTGTCTTTCTTTCTTTCTTTCTTTTTCTCTGTTTCTTTCTCTCCTTCTTTCTGTCTTTCTTTCTTTCTTTCTCTCTCTCTTTATTTCTCTCTCTCTCTCTCCTCTCTCTCTCTCTCTCTCTCTCTCTCTCTCTCTCTCTCTCTCTCTCTCTCTCTCTCTCTCTCTCTCTCTCTCTCTCTCTCTCTCTCTCTCTCTCTCTCTCTCTCTCTCTCTCTCTCTCTCTCTCTCTCTCTCTCTCTATTTTGTAGGTGTGTGGTCGGTACTCGGGAAAAAATTCGGTGGTATGCCCATCGTAGTCGTGGAGTACGGTAATCTATGCACGTCCTCCACACGCCGTCTAATTTATTTTAATGCCATCTAATCGATGCAGCCAAAGAAGGGAAGCATGATCATGTCGCAAGGAACGCTTCTATCGTAAGTTACAATTTTTAACGCAAGCTGATGCAATGCCGATTGTCACATTCAGTTCTTCTGTCTTCCATCAGGTTGCCTCGTCTAACCCGAAGATTGTTCCGCTCCATTCTTTGCTGTGAAAACACGGCAAGAAAGTCATTGCAAAGGATGTTTCCGTCAGCAGGTTTATGCATTATCTGATGCGCAGCTTCGAACTCGATCATCAGAACCGGTAGTTCTACCCTGTACACGTCTCAGACTGCTACCAACTGGGGTTGTAGACAATTGCTAGTATAGTACGAATACATGCATGGCATTGCTAATCAGCTAATCACAGCCGCTGTGCTGTGGCTTTATGTCACATTTCCTCCAGGCTAGGATAGAGGCGCTTTCAACTTCAAGTGCATGACTTTGATTCTGCTAGTAGTCTCGGCTATCGCTCTTCTGCCATATTCAAGCCTTGAGTTCTGCCTCCCCTGCTGAGCTCCGCCTAAAAGCAGAGTTATCTTTCTTTTATGTGTGTGCGTGTGTGCATGAGCGTGCGTGTGTGCATGAGTGTGCGTGTGTGGTTGTGTATGGCGTGTGCGTGCGTGTGTACGTGTGCGTTAGGCATTGGCGGATAATGCTCGAAAAGGTGGCAGATTCTGCTCGAAAAGCAGTGAAATTGGCAGAACCATACAAACCTTATGGCGGGCAATTCCTCGAATTCTGCTCTATTTCTTTATCCACATACCAACCATGCATGAAACTTACCAGAAAATGTACCGAATTCTGCCAATTTTTCTGCCGCCATTATCCGCCGGTGCCTGCGTCACTACATGTATGCCTATGGAGTATGGTTATGGCACCAGCCTTTTATGGATGAATTTGGAATGGTTGAGGCGTTTGCTACATTTCCCCATGGATCAGTGTTCGCAACACTATCGCTACGGTTGCTGGGGACACACCCCAGCCATACTATTCCGCATGTGTTTGATTTGCACCACATTCCATAAGTATGATAGCCGTGGAGCCAATGAATATTCCAAGGTTGTAATTTTACTGAAATGATCTACACTTTCTGCTTATGTCGAGCATATTTTGGCATATCTTTTGCATACACTGTATCTTGCTAAGCCTTTGGTATATTATGGACGTTTCCATGATATGCGACGAGCATAATAATTATGCTCTTTTTTTAGCATATTTGGTCGAGGCCTACTTACAGTCCATTTCAAAACTATAGACGCGTACCTAGGCAAAAACCGTTATGCCAGCATCTATACCACATAAAATCTGTGATCACTTTGTGCATAAATTTTTCCAAATTGGGCGTCTGTTATCCAATCCTTTAGAAACTATATGAGAGTAATTGTGGAGCGATCCTGAGCAATATTCCGAAAACTATTCTCAAAAAGTTCCAGCCAAATTTGAAATATTTCGAAAACCCTACGCGTCTATAGTTTTGAAATGCACGGTAGGAGTGTTATCAAGAGTGTTATTATTGTACATAACCCCACCCCCTTATGTACTCTTGGTACTAGGTAGGCTAGCCACACTACACTGCATGCACTGGTGCGCATGCAACCAATAACCAAACAGTTATTTTTAATTCCGCTAATTCCGCCCCCTAGCACGTACTTGTCAGTAGACCATCAGGGAGGCTACAATGACATCATACATGCATGGCTTTTATTCATTGTGTTTATTTTGCCCGTAAAAGAGGCTGTATGCATGGCTTGCACAGTGCACAGCAGCATGCTAGCAGCAGACAGCATTGTGCCTCTTTGCGGTAACTCTGGCACTGCAGTGCAGGAGCCCTAGGTCGTTAGGAAAAGCAAAGACGTGACACAGCAAGCCTGCTGCATGCTTGTCACCCTACTCTGTTGTCATACCATGACTCGAGGCATGACTAGTTGCAGAACTAGATTGGAATGTGGCAGGCGAAAATGACACCACAGCGTTTGACAGGTCGCATAACAGTCTGAGTCCAGCAAGTGGCAAAGTGAATCCAGTGCATTTGTATTCCTTTCTGCCACCAAGACTGCAGTACGGTGTACTGAAGCCACACACACAATGGCATGTTGTATTATTCTATTGCTCAGTAGTAACTCACTGGCAGGCTCTGTCATGGACATCCTGTCTGCCATTGACAATCATCAGACCGAGCATAGCTCAGACTCCTGCTAGCTGAGGGGCGGCGGCTGTCCATGCACATTGGTTTGACTGGTTCCATCCAGTTTTCCTGGTCAGTTCAGACTCTAGACTACCAATACCATGCAGCACAAATAAGTATGTACATTGGCAAAAATCAAACAGAAAATGACATCACTATCATCAGTCTGTCTGTCTGTCGTGGACCACAAAATACCATACACCAAGCATTTACATGTACCAGTGGATGTATATCATTATCAGTGGATATAATAATATCCACTGGTAGATGTAAAGGCTTCACGGGTGTACTTGTTGTCCATTATGTACATGTTCGTTCGAGTACAATGACTACGTGGATCTGCACGTAGATTGTGGACTGCACATATACGGCCTCCGCGAATGGTAAGTGCACGGAATGGTGACAAACGTGACTGCGCGCGTCGCCACCATGGAGCGACAGATGGCACTGGCAAGTCTGGAGCTGACGAGACAGGAGTCATGAAGATTCACTGCAGCAATTCCTCTGAGTGAGTCGCGATATCCGCACGCGCTCTCATAGTTTTAAAAGACCAACACAACACACGACCAGTACAGTGCAGTCTGCGTTGACCAACACGGTGGTTTTGTCGATTTTCGGACAATGCGCTGGACAGAACGTGTTGAACGTGCAGGCTCGGGCGAGTGAGATGATAACATCGAACAAAGCTGTCAGTCTGACAGCGGCTTGAGAAGCTAGCGAACGGTATTGACCATCTCGGACTTTCCCCGCGATGCTCGGCTGGATGATGCAACTCGGCCGAAATAGGCCATTACTTGTTGCAACGAGTTTATGCTTGCCCGTGCAACCGAAATATGGTCCACGAGCATGGTTCATTTGGGTACTGCATTGTCCTCGCAATGCAATGCCGCATCGGGAATTCTAGCAGGCTAGCTGGCTGGTAGTGGTACTACTGCCTACTGATGAAGCGCTGTCTGGTCGTATACGCAACGTTGCAAATAGCCACCCGTCTGCCGCAGTGACGGGTCCACAAAGCATGAATATAAAGACCAGACAATGTTTGCCTTGCGATGATTGACAATTGACTCAAGAAGAGCGGGTAACAACTAAAGGAACTAGATTTCCGAGCCAAAACCTCGGAATACGCCAAACGTTGGTAGACAGAGCGGGTCCACCCATAGTGAGTTCACCTGATAGCACGGACAAGTGAAGCGAAGAGACTGCAGTAGACCTTTTCCAGTGCAGTAGCCGGTACCATAGTCCAACCTCCGTTCAGAACCTACCCATTGAATAAAGAAATCTCTCGGATTGAGCACGATCACCTCCACGCAGCAGGTTGTAAGGATTCTTGTCCTGGAATCCAGAACTGGCCGTGTGAGAATGGTCGGCAGCAACATTGATTCCGGCTGCGGGGCTCGTTCCTACGGTAACCGCGAAGTCGGGACTTCTGCAGCGGCGCTTCCGAGGATGTGTGAGAGGCCGATGCCGACCAATGCTAGTACGCCGGATGTGCATGAAGCACACAGTGTGGTGCAGCATCTTGTTCGGCCAAGCTACACACAACGGACGTCGGATCGATGTCAAAGCATCGATCGCGAAGCGGGTGTCGACGCTCCAGATCCTGGAAGATGCACTTGCCGCAATGGCGATGAGCGCCGAAGGATGTCTTATGATAGTGGTTCAGGCAGTCTGTGCTATCACCAGCGAATGAAAGCATTGCCAGCATTACAACTACTCTTGCTACTTCTGTTGCTCGCCGAGAGATCGTCACTAATCGAGGCTGACGGTGAGGATTTTTTTCATTTGTGTCGATGTTCGTTGTTTGTCAAATTGGTTGGTGACAATGGTCTCAAAATGATGCAAGGATAACAGTCAGGCTTTCCTATCACAGTGGTCTGTACTGTAGGGTACTTGTGCATCCACCACATTTCCAACACGTGTACGTTTGTTTATCTCGGCCTTGATCATGATGCACCCACCATTGTAAGTGTTTTCTTCTGCCAGTGATAACACAAAAACCCAGTTCATGAGCATTGAATGCTTTAGCTGCGGAAGAAACTTGAATCGCTTTCCCGCTGGCAGAAATCGATAATTGTTCAGTTTTTAAGGTGCCCAATATTGTCACAGGATCGGAACAGGAAAAACTTTGATAACCCAATGGTACCGGAGGCAAATCGCTTTAATTTAAAGATTATACGCGAGCATCCGCGAAGAAATAGTAGAGCAAGCAGAGCTCAATGGGCATTCCATAAATGTACCGGGTGTCGGTTTATCCGAGCACAACACTGTTATGGGTGCACAGAGTCTACGTTACGTAGCTGTGCAATAGGTGGAGAATGAGGGGCACTGGCCCAATGGCGGTGGGTGGTCGCTGCTTTGGTTCCCATCCGGTTGCTCTTGCTGTGCCGGAGGCAACCTTTGATACATGTAGTTTATCAGCAGGCCGTGCACACTGCAAACAAACACTGCCCTCACAGACACCCGTTGCATAACACACTGCTTCATCTGTACTCAAAGCAGAGCATTATCATGAGTTATAGTCCACGAATATAGGCACCAGCTGGTGTGCTTTGTTCGGAGGGAGCAAAGCATAGTTGTTGTACTTGTAGTATGCCTGACAGAAGCTGGCTGTCATCCACAGCTGTCTTGCAGAGGCAACGCCCGTGCCCTGTGCAGACCTGTGGGTATTAACCCAAGATGAGCAGCAGCCAGTCAAGTACTGCTGCCCGTTCACTTACTCTCTCGGCCCTGGTGTGTGCCGGCTTAATGGCATTGTAGTAAATGTTGCCGTGCTGCACGTCACCAACCTGCTTCAGAGCTACTCTTATAGCACAGGACGGTGCATGTCAAGCACGTGTGTATTCGATTCATTGCTGCTCCGAGGCTGTCATGGACACAGCATCTTATCTTCAGCTGTCTGTCGTCTCCCAGCCCTCATTGATTTCAAGTTGAAGCACAAGGCAACCTCTTTTTTCTCTCCTATACATCGATAGACCTTAACAAGGCGCTGATTGGTTGAAATCCAGACTTGATTTCTGATCAACAGAAAAACAAGAAAAACAAGGTTGACATATTGACATTCTGATTGTTTAGGACTGATGATGGCGTTAGCGGCAACACCTGCACCTGCAGCCTGCTTTCAGATTGCTTCTAGTATGATGTATATCACATTGAATATACAAGTACAATCATGTTGTTGCTGTTGTGTGTGTGTGTGTGTGTGTGTGTGTTTGTTTGTTTGTGTGGACGTTTTGCGTGTTTCATTGGCTCCTCTATCGTGTTGCACCATGTTTTTTTCTCTAGGAACGCCGGCAGCTATAGAATGTCGAGCACCGACTTCCCTTGCCACGGTACACTGCCCAGCAGCAGTGCCAAATGCTAATGATGTCAGAGAGTGGAGGAGGACGGACACCAGCGCAAGCACCTCCTGGATCACACCATTTAGCAGAGATGACGGTGTGTATGCGCATGAGAGCACCATGGTTATCGATAGTGTTGCCCATCGCCACGCCGGGGAATATGAAGCCTGGTCATATCGCCAACCAGGAGTCAAGGCGAAGCTGATATGCCGAGTGTACCTCATAGTTGCTGAATGTAAGTCTACTGTTGAATAGCTCAACCCTGACCTTCCAACATGTTTACAAGGGAATGAAATTAGATATTATTACTCGAATGCTGATTACAACTGGTGAACTGCTTGCTGTGGCTTCTAGCTACAGTACTAGGGGTGAATGCATTCTTAGCTCAGTTGAACCACTGCCCTTGTAGGGCCAGTATGGAGTGTGGAGTTCGTGCTAAAACACAACTACATTGTACTTGAACCCAGACCCAGGTGATTGTAAGAGGAGAAGAGAGCAGAGAGAGAGAGACAAACAGAAAGACAGACAGACAGATGGACAGACACACACACACAGACAGACAGACAGACACACAGACGGGCAGACACACACACACACACACACACACACACACACACACAGACGGACAGGCCGACAGCAATCTAATCACTGGCTATATTGATCTGCTTTGTGTTGTTCTTGCAGATGGCAGTTGCCAAGAGCACATCAAGTTGAAGATGCTGGGCCCGAAGTCTGCTACCACATTGGTTGGCAGGCGGGCATGTATACACTTCCGGCCGGCCATAACCATAGATAAACGGATTGCAGTGCGTGGCATACCAACACCGATGGACGTCTTCTACAAGAAGATAACCAAAGACGAAATGCTTTCCCTGGAGACGTGGGGCTCGGGACGATACAGCGTGGAGAACGGAAGCCATTTGTGCATAGAAGATGCACGGCTTGACGATGTTGCAAAATACACGTCAACCGGAGCACTAAGCGAGCAGTTTGGATTTACGAAAGAGTTTACAACCAGGCTCAAAGTCAGAAGTAAGTGCTGGTGGGGGGGCAGTACATTTTTTCTTCAGACTTTCCCCCTTTTCAACACCCTCAACTTTTGAAATTAAGTAACATCGTGTAGATCATCTCAGCACTTGCCCACCGTAATCTTAGCTGCCACATTAGCATGCAAAAAGATTGACAAATGTGTGTTGATGTTTGCAGCAATAGAGTAATTTCACATCTGTCACATGACTGCATGCGGCAGCCATGTTGGCTCCAACTCCACTCAACCCCCGCATCGATGGGTCGCGTGACGTCGGCCGTGTTGGTTCCACTGTCCACCTGACATGATCACTTCCTGCATCAATTTGGTCACACGGCAGAGATGTGAAACCACTCTATAGACTACAGTCAACTTCGCGTATAACGACACTCGGCGAGGTATCAGAAAAGTGTCCTTATACCCGAAATCGCATTACATGCATATGTATGGGACTTTGCTCTAGGCATGGAAGTACTGTCGTTATTCACGAATTGTTGTTATATCTGCAGTCGTTATTAGCGAAGTTGACTGTATACGATAATGTAGTCCCGATGGCCTTGTTAACAACTGTATCCATGCTCAAGTATATGTACACGCCTATGCCCACATATTATTATCATATGCCCATCTGATGGCTCTATTGAATTAGGCGCATGGGCTTATCCTTGGGATTCTACGGTAGTTTTCAGACCCGAGAAGATTTCTTCGCAGTCCCTTTTGCGTACATTTGACTGAGTGGACTGTATTGCCCTGCAAAATCGAAATAGTAGGTCAACTTCTAGTCCACTGGATAGATTCTAGTGTAGAAAGTAGTGAGATTGTATTTTATAAGCGGAATAAATGGATGTAGATAAGCGTCGAGGCGACAATAGTTCTTTCATATCACATTTGTTTCTCCTTCCCTGTTCTTCACCGTCTTCGTATCCACTTGTTTTGAATACAATACAGCCTTCGTGAAATGTCGATTCAGCTCGCTCTGTTGACCGCACTTCTAAAAAGTAATGGATATTTGCAACAAAACAGTAGAGCACACTCTAAACTTTGTTCCTACCGTTTGCTTGTTTTCCTTTGGCTTGTTCACAGTGCCGGCTACTTTGGACGTCTCGTTGCTACCTATCACGGTCACGCCAACGCGACACATCAGTGTTGACTGTGCCGCACAAGGCAATCCACTTCCAACCGTAGCCTGGTACAAGCTTAGCGACACGAGCAATGCAAGAACCCTACTGTCGAAGACTAGCCGCAGACTGCGGGCACAGCCGGCCGTGACTAGGCCCCAGAGCGGCGTCAAAATCACCTCATCGGCGGAAAGAAAGAACTATAGGGTCATCTCTTCGCTGGTGCTATCAGGCCCAAGTGCTGCAGGCACGTATCTCTGCGAGGCCAGGAATACCGGTTTCTATGGGCGCACACATACAAGTCAGCCTGTGAACATCACTGAGAGTGTGTTTTAGAACTGGCGAGGCTTAGCCATACCCACGTTGAGTGCACTAGTATCCGTTTACTGTTGTGACATGCATTCTAATTGACACGAGAGCTAAAGTTTAGCCAGTCGCTTATTCCTACAAATGATACTTTGCCGCTAACCTTATCCATGTGAACTGTGAGATTTCAGACCAATCGGTAATCCCCACACTCTCCTTTGTTTTCTACCCTCCAAGTCACTGTGCAAAACGCCCAATATGCTATATGTCGCAGAGCCACTCAGTCTAGTAACCTATCAAGCAGCCATATCCCAATATACTTCTGTGTTAAAATATGCTATTTATTTCACGTAATGCAGCGTACAGAGTCGAGTACAAAATAGTCGGTGAATCCATTTCCATCATACAGAGTTCTTTTCCATACCTCATTATTATTATTTTTTTCTTTTAGACTAACAACAATGAATACTATCCCGCCATCCAAACGTGCTGGTTTTGAATTTGCGATAAGATTGGGAGTCACATATCCTAGAGCTTGGTAGGGTTTGAACCATTCAAATTGCAGGTAAACTAACACACATGATTGGCAATGTGCAGTAAAACTAGAATTTGAGCCGCAGTAAAAAGTTACTAAAAGCCAGAATGAAAAACCAGAATGAGGAAGTTGCAGTGTAAAGTACTGCAGGTACACGGTGCTACTCAGTGAAATCCCGAATCAAGGTTAACTTTTTTTAAAGTATGTGCAGGGCGCAGTGCTGCCCTTCGCCAGCGAACATTGGACTGTGAACTGGCGCAGGGCACAAACTTGACTCCTATGATCGGATCTCATTGAGCAGCAGTGATGCACAATAATGTCATACGTGACTGGCTGGACTGAAACAGTACCCCTCTCTCTCTCTCTCTCTCTCTGTCTGTCTGTCTGTCTGTCTGTCTGTCTGTCTCTCTGTGTCTCTCTCAGCTGGACTAACAGCAACTGTACTCTACCTGAGACCGAATACCGACACAAAAACCCTACCAAATGCAAAAAGAAACCACTTTGAGTGTTCGACAACCAATTTTGTCTGCAGCATGACTGCATTCACTGTCAGAACTACAACTATAAAAAAATGCAGGCAGGATAAAAATGAACACCAGGCCAACAGGCAACACAATGCATGAAAAAATCTCGAAAGAATATCAATAATGCCAAAAAACAAGGCCAGAAGAGATCGTTTTTGTTGCAGCCATGATACGTGTACCCTTTGGGCCATCAGAGCCAGTAGCCAGTATTCAGCATTGCATGTATTAAACTACTTCAAGAAGTATTCCTATCATAAACTTGCATGCAAGGAAAATAGTGATGTATTTCATGAGAATTCTGTATCCGGCAAAATATATACGCAGCGAGTGACAGTTTGATAAGGGCACACTTTCTGTACACATGCAAAGCGAGTGAAGCAACCCGGGCGGCACACCGATGCCCATGAGCCAGGGAGGCAGTAACGAGGGCTAGACACGTAGGTAGTAACGGAGGCTAGACACGTAGGTAGTAACGACGGCTAGATACGTAGTGCAGTAATTACGTGTCCTTACACATGTGCCAGTGCCAGGATGGTGAAGTGCAGCTCGGACGGATCCCGCGCCATGAACTTCTGGCACACAAGTGCGCCATCCTGAGAACAGACAGACAGACAGACACACACACACACGTTGAAAGAACAGAGTGAGGGAGTGGCTGAGACGGACAAACAGATAGATAGATACTGTAAAACCAGAACATTTCAGTGGAGATTATTTTCGGTAACTTCGGTACAGGTAATTTTTACCTAAAATTCAAAAAGCCATGCCACACAGTGTGCAAAATGCATTTTCGGATGCGGAAAACTGGTTTACCGAAATTTTCACGCTACCGAACCGTTGATTTTGGGAAACACCGAAAATATTACACCACCGAATATTCCCGGTTTTACAGTAGATAGATAGATAGAGAAGGGGGGGGGGGGGGGGGGGGGTCATTCGCATACCAAAAAGATCCAAAGCTTCAATTTACCTGACCATCAAAATAAATATACTTGAAGTATATCCAGCACAAACAACAAAGGAAAGAAAACAGCGATCACCACTATTCAGCACGTACCTGAAGGAAAGTATCCAGTGTGGTTGGACCATGGTTGACTGGGAACGGTTTTCGGCCATCTGTAATACGGGCAAGTGAAGACGTTACAGGATTACGTTCATAGAACATACATGTACATAGCATTTTCTTCAGACACACAAGAGGCTGTGCCGTACTCGACAGTCATTGCTGGCACTTAAGTATGCACCATTGTGCCGTGCTACACACAATAATGAAGCTTCATCAGGATGGTAGACTCACCGAGCTCATACAGCGAATCCTTGTGGGGAACCAGAGCCACGAAGTGAAGATTCACAGAGTCACGGTCGGACGGCACCTACAGCAGCAGTGCACAACAGACCAAGGCAAGCAGAGGAGCAAGGGAGACCACCTTCAGTTCTACAACACACTGGGGAGACTAGAGAGTGCTACAAGCACACAGAAGTAAAACCCTGATTCTATCCGGCAGACTACACTGCAGTACGAGGAAAAATTACACAGAGTTCATCTAGCAGAGCAGGGATACAACCTTCAGTTCTACAATACACCGGAGAGACTAGAGAGTGCTACCACCATGCAGAACTACAACCCTGATTCTAACCGGCATGCCACGCTGCAGTACGAGGATCCGAGAATCGGTCAATTCACACACACACACACACACACACACACACACACACGCACACGCACGCACACACACACACACACACACACACACACACACACACACACACACACACACACACACACACACCTCATCTAGCGCTATGGGAAGCAAAGCACTGAGAGCTGTAAAACAATGTAAGCCATCCATGGTGAGTGTTACGTTGAAGCACTCTCAATACACACAAATAATCTCTTCTATTGTACTTTCGCTGATAAGAATGTCGTATTAAAGGCCAGGACGCAACACACAGAACTATATCCTCCTATGCACACACGCGTGTGCGTGCACGCATGCAAATCGCACCCACCCACGTATGGGTGTATGGGCAGGCGAACGCACACACACACACACACACACACACACACACATCACTAAGTACTAGAACTTCGTGATAACTTTTGGTCCAAGTTTAGGCGCTAGGAGCCAGGCTTACCTCAGATTGTCCCTCATTGGCACTTTCCTCGTGAGCAGCAGAAATCGTCTACATAGGGTAAAAAAGAAAAGAAAAGAAGACGTACCAGTACCAAGAAAGTCAGGAAACAAGTTGAAAGGTGTTGGAGCCTTTGGATGTCTCAGTGCTCCCCGCCAGTGTTGTGCCTTGCTGGCGCACTCTCTGATTGGACTATGATCTATTTACTTTGGTGGACGGTTAGTCATAACTCATAGCATTTTAGTCCTTCTCTTATCCAGTATTAGGTAAACTTTTAGAGATGCACTTTGCACCTCCATCATGGCAAATTGGGTAGTGTTTTCCATGTAAATACTACTAATCAGCACTTCGGAAAGAAGACAAAAGTCTATATTAGTGTATCGTAGAGGGCTAACATTACAAGATCATGTATGGCATTGCACTGGTCGCACTAGTGCAAGTTGGGACTACATGTACATACATCATCGCCTTCCAGGTAGGATCCACGCTCCGCAGGAGTCATGTCCTTGGTGTGTGAAATAAAGTTCGTCAGATATCCTTCCTCTGTAGTCCATCGTATATAGCCAACACATACCAACAGGCAGACACAGACACAGACACAGACACAGACACACACACACACACACACACACACACACACACACACACACACAGTGACAGACATACCGACAGACATACTGACAGACACACACATGCACACATAGAGATAGAAACACACACATCCAGACACAGACATACCATACCATACAGACAGACAAACAAACAAACAGGCAGTTTGGCAAAAGCTTGATGTCCAAACGACGACACACCAGCACAGGTCCAGCCAAAGGATTCGTACAATGCAACGGAAGATAGCCAGACAACACAACAGGAATGATGAGAGGTGAGGGAGAGGATGGTCATTATAAGGGAGTTATCGGTTATCAGCCTAGTCTTGCTTCTGTTATTGGCCCGAATATCTTCCGTTGCATACACAGACAGACAGACGGACGGACAGACGGATGGACGGACAGACATACATACATACATATATATACATGTGTAAGCAGAGACAAAACAAACAGAGAATTGGTACATAAAAAAACCCAGTCCCAACTGCAATCCCATCATCGCTAGTAAAACAATGAGGAACACGCCACTGCACAGGCACTGACCATCAGCCACTCACCGAGGTCAACACGGTCCTTGCTATTGCTGATGGAATGAAGCAGACCTATTGTGCCACACGCATTGCCGATGGTCTGACGCATGAAGAATACACTGTCGTCGACATGCTATGAATGCAAGGCAGCACAGGGCAACACCGACCAAAAGGCACACATTCAAACAACCAAATTCAAAACCTGGACCACAGCATGTCATCCCTAGGCCTAGTGCATCCTCGTACAGAAGAATGCCGTTCATTCGAGTAGCGGCACACGCAACATTGCACAGGACACTGAGAGCAGCTGTGGATGCAGAGTTGGTCACCATCATCATGCCAGTCATATGCATGGTAGCCCGTTGTCCAGCATTGCTATAGTTATTACACACCCGTCCGGGTATCATTCATCACCACTGCCTACACACTAGCAGTAGCACTCTCTGGTGCAGTAGCACTCTCTGGTGCAGTAGCACTCTCTGGTTCAGTAGCACTCTCTGGTTCAGTAGCACTCTCTGGTTCAGTAGCACTCTCTGGTTCAGTAGCACTCTCTGGTTCAGTAGCACTCTCTGGTCTAGTAGCACTCTCTGGTTCAGTAGCACTCTCTGGTTCAGTAGCACTCTCTGGTTCAGTAGCACTCTCTGGTTCAGTAGCACTCTCTGGTTCAGTAGCACTCTCTGGTTCAGTAGCACTCTCTGGTTCAGTAGCACTCTCTGGTCTAGTAGCACTATCTGGTTCAGTAGCACTATCTGGTTCAGTAGCAATCTCTGGTTCAGTAGCACTCTCTGGTTCAGTAGTGCTCTCTGGTTCAGTACAGTAGCACTCT